ATACAAATCAGCTCCAGCCAGACAGGATTAACCTTACCAATAGTCTGTATCGTATATGCACAGCTGCCCCAGCACAATATTGGGACTCGTTGGTCCTGCTCATTGGGATGGACATTAAGTCCCACCTTGTATGTTGCTGTCCCAAATGTTGTCAACATCTCTTTAATGCTATCGGAGTATGGGTTCCTAAGATGGGGTAGATCAAACATGGCCATTAGCATAATATGTTAATGAACCAATCTTTACCAAGCCCAGAACTACAGTTACAGAACTACGAAGATGCATACTTTGGTTGGAAGGAAGGCCGGAACCCTTCAGGAATATTCACTTGTCTAGCAGTTTCAGATTCATCTGTAACCAACAGAAAGTAAAATATCTAAAACCTTTAAAGGGTTAATTCATTAAAAAACAAAACAAACAAAAAAAAAAACAAACAAACACGTTACTATATACAATATTACTCAAGCTAATCAGATTTTAAAACAATGCGTCTCTTCTGCTAAAATACCTGTAGGCAATTTGTGCAATGACAGAAGCCTGACAGAAAAACTGTAAATGCTTTCCATGGCTCTGTCCTGTCTTTTTACTAGGATGAGGAAGCCATTAGGACTAGCGCCTTGAAATGAAGCACTATCCTTTACCTGAGGGCATCCGCCCAAGTCACTCTCTCTCTTCCCTGTTCCACTCGCTAAGCTCAGTCATGCCAGCTGGAGAGAGAACGCACTGTGCATGTGCGGCCCTCAGGAAAACCCCATAATGCTAGGGGGTGCTCATCTTAAAGGCTGCTCCATCCTAGTGTACAGTGATGCTATTCTGTATAGCAGTAAACCTTAAAAGAGAAGTTCCAGTCATATCTCTGAAAATTAGAAGTCAGCAGCTACAAAAACTGTAGCTGCTGACTTTTAATAAACATACACTCACCTGTCCCAGGATCCAGTGCTTTGCTCACCTGGGTCGTTTTATCCACAAGTCTTCAGTCCCCGGCGCCAGCATCTTAACTGTGGGCACTCGGCTGTGACAGCTTGTGGATTTACTGAACGCTGCACACTGCACATGTGTGAGCCACACAGCACATTGTAAATGGTCCCGCAGTCTTCTGGGACCTGTGACGTTTCCCCCAGGGGTGGGGTTGTTTTTGCAGGGGTGGAGGAGGCGTACTCCTAGCTTAGGCGATCCGAGCAGAAGTGGGAGTGGACACCTGTCAAAATTCGGTGCCCACTCCCTTTGCACCAAAAGAAAAAAAAAAAGAAAAGAGGAGTGGGGGGGAGGCCTTAAAGCAGAACTTCCTCTTTTGGATGAATGTCCGCTTTAACTAACCCTTTAACGGCCTCCCCCCACCATATAAGGTTAATGACGGGCGCAAGGTGGTTCTCTTGTTCTGGGAGGACATCATATGACGTCCTTCCATGTGCGGCGATCGGTGGTGCACGGTGTCCCTCGGGCATAGCGGTTCACCGATCAACGGCAAGAGCCGAAGATATCGGCTCGGTCATGTGATCAGTTGTTTCCAATCACAGCTGAACGCATGTAAATAAGGAAATGCCGGTTATCAGCATTTATCTCCTCATGAGCTGTCACGCTGACAGCTCGAGAGGAGAGCCGGGTAATAGGCATTCTCCAGAGGGCACATGTACACTGATCATCAGGACACTGATGATCAGTGTGCCCTGATGATCAGTGTAGCCCCAGCAGTGCCACCTGTCAGTGTCCATTAATGCCTACCAGTGCACATCAATGCCACCACATATCAGTGCCCATCTGAGCTATCTTTCAGTGCCACCTATCAGTGCCGTCTACCAGTGCCATATATGAATGTTGCCTTTCAGTCCCCATCAGTGATGCCTGTCAATGCCCATCAGTGCCACCTACCAGTGCCTCCTCATCAGTTACCATCAGTGCCACCTATCAGTGCCCATCACTGCAGCCTCATTAGCGCACATCAGTGAAGGAGAAAAATCACTTATTTACAAAATTTTTTAACACAAATTAAGAAAAAATGTTTTTTTTCAGTTGTTTTTGGTTTGTTTAGCAAAAAATAAAAAACCCAGAGGTGATTAAATACCACCAAAAGAAAACTCTGTCTCAAAAATTTATAAAAATTTCATATGGGTACAGTGTTGCATCACCGCGCAATTGTCATTCAAAGTGTGAGAGCGCTGAAAGCTGAAAATGGGCCTGGGTAGGAAGGGGGTATAAGTGCCTGGTAGGCGAGGGGTTAATGAAGCAGAGGTAACATTGCAATGTTGGAAGAGGTGGTGGATGAGTGATGGACTGGCATTAAATCAAGTACAGGAGTAAAATCCTCCCTTCTACTCATGCTTTTGTGCATTAATAAGTGGTTAGCAATAGGGTTCTAAGTTTAATGCCTTCTAGTGACCCCATCTGCAGAATTTTTGTGTTTTTGGGGAATTCAATCCACATTCCAAAACATACTTGTATGTATCTTTTTAATTGCAACAAAGGCCTGTATTCCAGCTAAGCAGAAGAAATCTTCTCCACTCACAACTAAACAATGGCTGGATTGAGTGGCCAACATACTTTACTTATATGCATGGTTTGCGTCACTGTCTTGCCTCCTGTGGGAGGGGTTGCTGATATAAAAAATTATCACCACACTCACCTGTGCTCATCTTCTCTGCTTCCAGTTCATTTAGGGCTCTGATCTGCTGCCCAGTAACAGAGATCCATTCTGCCAAGTCTGGCTGATCTGAGAAATCTAGTCTGAAAAGGGAAAATTCAAAAGAAGCAATTACAGCACTCAATTTGTCTGGCTCACGGGAACTTCTTTAACTTGAATTCAGTTATATTCCAGCTGTGCTGACAATTTAGAGAAATCGGTTGTCAGGGCAATGTAAATGCAAAGGTGAATAGAAAGGTGAATGACATGAATCAGCACATCTGAACTGCAGCAGACTGAAATGACAAGTCCAAATATTCAGTTCCTCCTAGACAGTGAAAAAGCTAGAACATGTCCTTTCATCTCTGTTCTTCAAATCAGCAGGTGCAGCCAAGTACCGGAGGGCATTTAAGTGAAGGGAGACCTCTTCTCAAAGAGCCTTGAAGGCTATAAAACATGGCCATAAAGGGACAAATACCTTACTAAGAACATCTACCATGTCCTTGATTAAAAAGCTATGCTGCAGAGACTCATCCCAACTCCCATTAGAAAGCCTGTACAACAGTAGCAACAGACTATTTTAACAGTCAGAAGTAATTTCACCCATAGGATCATCATAAATGATCTATTTCTTGCCAAATATCGCAAGCTTTGATTAATTTGTACCACGTACGGCCAACCCTCTCCCTACATATCGAGGAAGTCATTCCAATAATTGTGGGACCTGTCATTTCAAAAGAGCAAGCAGACACAGAGAAGACTAAAACAAAAAGATAAAACAAGCAGAGGCCATCGGTATTCATAACACCACAAAAACTTAGTTGACATCTGGTTAAAGCGGTAGTCCAGTCAAATCCTAACTATACCTAAACCTGCTCCCACCGCCATTTCTAAGCCTATTCTTATTACCCTGTAATGGAAAGAGGATTATACTTTCATATGCCGAGGGCACACTGATCTGGGCACACAATCGGCCAGGAGGGACAGCCGACAATGGATGCCCCTTTGTAAACCTATGGGGGATGTCATCTCATAGGCTCTGCAGCCGTTGCCAGCGATCTCACCTCTTCACTGAAGCTGGCTGGGGAGATCGTGACCTGACCGGAGTGCCCTCAGCATAGGCAAGCATAGACATCTTTCCTTTACAGGGTAGTTAGAATAGGCTAGGAGAGGGGGTGGGAGCAGCTTTATGTATAATTAGTATTTGACTGTTCTTCTACTTTAAGGTCATGTGTGAAGTTGGAATACATGCCTTTCAATCTAATGAAGGGTTTAAAAAATCACTAATAATAAATACTGCTACAAATAAAATAACATGAAAACATTAATCTTCCTACAGTTCACTGTTCAAAAGGTTGGAAATAACTAGGGTCAAAATAATTCTGTCACCTTAGCATGTTTCAGGCACTGGGAATAATAGGAGTAAAGTGTCTGGCCAGTTAAATTAGTAGAGCAATGAAGCTGCATTTACACTTTAGCTGAGTGCTCTTGGTCATTTTGCAGGTTTTTTAGTGTTTGTACAAGCCTTGAGCATTTTTAATTTTTTTTATTTTTAGCTAATGGAAAGCTAGTTAATTGGAGAAAAAACCTTGTGGTATGTTTGTTTTCACATGTGTTCTTTAGGTGCTGCTATTAAAGCCCTTTGGGGCTAAAAATGCTTGAACCTTGCCGCTCAAAAGCAGCTCATGTTTTGGAGCTTCAAGCGACACTACACTCAGACACAAAGGACACAATTTCACACATGTGAAGGACACAATTAACCACTTCATGTCCGGACACTTTTACCCCCTTCCTGTCCAGGCCAATTTTCAGCTTTCAGCGCTGTCACATTTTGAATGACAATTGCGCGGTCATGCAACACTGTACCCATATGAATTTTTTTTAGCATTTTTTTTTGAGACAGATAAAACTTTTTATGGTGGTATTTATTCACTACTGGGATTTTTATTTGCTTTATAAATGAAAAAGTCCAAAACTTTTGAAAAAAAGTGTTTTTCTTATAAAATGTTGCAAATAAATAATCTTTCTTCATAAATCTTGGCCAAAATTTATTCAGTTATCTTTTTAGTAAAAAGAAATTACCCAAATTAGTTTATAACCAAAAATTATAATTTTTCAAATATTTTATTTTTTTTAATATTATTTTTTTTTTTTTTTTTTTAAATACGGTCACCCTAGCAGTAGAGTGTCACCATGGTGACACTACTTGTGGGGGGTGATGAAGATTTTTTTTTTTTTTTTTACACTGATTGCTTTTACACCCATAAAAGCTGTAAAAGCAATCATTTCTCCTCTCTGGCTGCATTCTTGCAGCCATTAAGAAATACTGCTTGAGCTGTGATTGGTCACAGCTTGTCACATGGTACAAGGCTTTTGTGAATAGCCTTGAACCACGTGATCTCTGATCATTCACAGATTTCACACGTAGTAAGCAATGATGTCAGAAGTGACATCTTGATTACTACTATTCATGTGATCACTGATTGGCCAATCAGTGATCACATGATCGGGACCTCACACAGAGGTCCCATACAGCGATCGGTGTTCTGCTGTGTGAGCGTGCACAGTCCAAAATGGCGGGCGATGTTTATGAATGGCAACCCGCCCCTGCACTGCCCCAGTCCAGCCGTTTATATACATGGGCCGGACGGGAAGTGGTTAAAAACCATGGTATTTTGAATGTTGTGCATTTTGGGGCTATAGGCTGCAAAATTCTCAGGTGAGAACAGGGTCTGAGTAGGCTACAGGGCACACAGCACTTACAAAGCTGCAGAATGAATCCCAAATATTTCATTAAGTAAAACAATACAAATATATTTATGTATTTCTGTTGCCCGGAGTTTCATCTTAAGCGCCAACATTTGACCTGACACAACTTGGTAAACATCTCACCTGTGATACAAGCTCCTGGGAGGTGGAAGCATTGGGATAACTGTGTTGCTTAAACACTCACACAACGGACATAGGAACTCTCCATTTTCCACATCATAGCTTGTGTGGACTCGCAACCTTTGCTGTCTGCGTTGCTCCTTCATCTGTACAGCATCAAAATACCTGCAATGCATGAACATGAAAGGTCAAATAGGCCTCCTCTAGTGCAATTCTAATCTACCTTCTACAGTAATCATGGATCATCTTCTTCCTATTGGGGGCTATACATCAAAGGAAATCCAAGGTCATCCAAGTGTATGTTCTGCAGTAGGAAGGCAATGTATCCTATGCTGCTCTACTTTGCACTGACTGATAACAGAAAAAATGAACAGTCACAATAATCAGTTCTAAAACTGAGCTTCAGATTCCTCCCTGTGCCCCTCTGTTGGTCAACAAAGCAACTCACCACAAAAAGTGACTCCATTGCATAAATAAAATTTCACAAACATGTTTCCTCTGGAGAAAGAAAGTAGTATCATAGATGGCACCCCAATCCATATGTTATGGAGATGTCCTAAACTCTACCGGTATTGGTCCTCTGCTTTTCAGATGCTTAATGATCTCAATTCTATTTAAGTCCCTTTAGACCCTAACCTTGCCATTTTGGGGCATTATCCGGGAAGACCTAATACTGCAAGACTGTAGTTTGCTACAGCTAATTGAAGTCCTGGCAAGATGTCTGTTAGTTTCTGTTGACTATAAAAAAAAAAAACCTCAAACTATGACAAAATCTTTCAGTTCTGTCACCCATGGTTTGTATGTCAATTAAAGCACTAGGAACACATAGCATGTCATAAAATGTCTACCCAGAAAGCAGTCAGGCGTGGGGCAAACCCTCTGAGACCTCTGCCCAATTCACAACTTAACAAAATCCACGCACAATTCATAAAATCAAACAGGACCAAAACATATTAATATTAAGTATATATTTGAATGGGGAATATCATGCCAAACAAATTAAGGTCATACATGACTAAGCTAGCACATACAGAGGGGGTGAGATTGACAGCTCTTGCGTACCATCAACCAAGGAACATCAGTCAAGTTATGAGAGCCAGTAACACCTTGCTCACCCTTGACTGAACTCCACTAAAACCAGGGACTTGGCAAGCGTTTACTTTTTTTTCTACCTTTTGTCTTGCTGTTGCTTGTTCTTTGTTACCTTGTAATATCTTAGTTGTGTAAATATTTTATTTGCACCGTTTTGACCTTTTCGTTATTAAAACCTATTTTGAAAAGTGTTTAAATTGTGGTAATTGAGCTAATACAAACAAAAAGAACCCCTGTCTCTTGAAGAGTGCTACTGTATTTTATAAATCTCTGAATATACCTGTCTGTGGTGACAGAGTGTGTACAGACGTTTATTGTTCATATTTGCTCTTGCTAATATTGTGAAGGCTTGATAGGCCCAAAGCTATCTGGTGGCAGTTTGGATTTAAAGGGTTAATCACTTAGGTAACTTAACCCAGTGACAATCACTCTCAGGTTGCTGGCACTTAAGATTGTGGTCCCATGAGCTGGAAAATCTGTGTGCAAGGTGCAGCTGAGAGTGGCATTGTTAAGTGACAGTGCGGTGTGAGAATGGCCACTTGTTTGTCACGAGTTGATGAGAAGGGCAGGGGTCGGGCACTGCATTCGTGTCACAGTATGAACCAGCACTAAAAACGCATAATACATGCTTGCTCTCACACAGACGTGTAAAGTGGAACCAGTGGGGAGGTAGACTATCCTCTAGTTTAGGAAGTTACATTTTGCCCTCATTCTGATTGTTTGTAATAAATGACCTACAGTCAACAACCTATTTGATCGATATACTACACACAGGGAAGTGGATTGCTATTGGAAACCTGATAGATTATTTTGATGGCAAGAGTTCCTGAAGATGAGAAGTGTTTTGTATAAAGCGGGTATGTCTGTCATGAGAATGAGAGGCATATAGATCTGGTGAGTGATGGTTTAGAGGGAAAGGGTCTGCACAAGCACAACAGTGGTGTGTGGAGAGGACTGCTCTTCATAGAAGGAAGTTAAATCCTTTTTTCTATTACACTTTATGAACTTTTTGAGGACTTATTTAAAAATGATTGCATGGTTTTTTTCCTATTTGATATAATCATGCTGCCACCATGAGGACTGAGGTGTTGCTGTTGCATATACACGTTTTCTCACTTTGTTTTGATATTGTAAAAATTACCTCTGCCAGCAATGTGCATGCATAATATGCCCACAGCTTCCTGTGTGTGTTCCACATGCCAAGTCTGGATGCATGATCAGGGGTCGTAGTTTTCTGCAGAGACAGCAAATTAAACAAAGATTAAACAAACTTACTGTATGTAAATGGTACTTCAGTGGAGTCTACAATGCTAGACTGATGAACCAATTGGTTTCTCAAATTAATAGCTTTCATTGATTGCATTTCATTGTTGAGTCAGTCTCACAGATTTTTGTATGTGGTTGGCTTTGAGCAAAACGTTTGATATTTTATTGTCAGTATTATCAGAACAACAGTTTTAGGTTTGCTTAGATATTTTCTTTATAGTGTTCATTTTAAATGCTAGGTTTAAGACTACATTTATATTAGGGTGACCCTATAATTAGGGTCAACTAACCAAAGTAATACAGTTGGCCCACATCTGGTACTTCTGACTCAAACTAGCAAAGTTACTTGAGCAGTGAATCCCAATTTCTAGCTACCCAATGTTGTAGCAGGAACTAATACAGGTAATACCATATGATTAGCCAAAAGGAAGCAGTGAGACTCTGTCCAAATAGCGTTTGCACAGGTGAATCTCTAATAGAAAAAGAAGGCCAATGGCATATAGTATCTAACCCCTTGGACACTGATAGGAAACCAAAGTCTTCGCTCCCTGTATGAGTAGCTCAGACCTGGGGAGGAGCAGACTTATCATTGTTTGCTCAGTATTCAAAGGAAAGGCTAATTCTGCAGAGTATATATTCTATTCCATAAATAAAATATTAGATACTGGCAGTACATTTTAACCATACCATTCCCATAAAGCTGCTCACCTGGATCTTGAATAATCTTTGCCCTGTTCTTGGAGAAGACTGTTGATCTTTGAATGAAGGCAGCAAGAACCATGGCTTTATTATCCACACTGAACGCTTGCTCCTCCTGGCATAGAATGCAGGTCACTAGCTGGCTTTGTTCCGTGAAGCGGGTCTGATGAGGGCCAAGAGCAACAAGCTTCGTGTCCAATATTGCTGGGCCGCTGAGAAGATAAAACATTATAGGGAACAATTAGTGGTTTTGTATATATTTTCTATAAAGTGCAAGATTTAAAAAAAAAAAATTTATTCAGGTAAATATGAAATAATACAAATGTAACCTATGTTGATTTTTAACCAGCCAGCAGATTGATATTAGGCTGTTTCACATCCTTACCTCCATTTACAGCCTACTGTAAAAAAAAACAAAAAAAAAAGAAAACAAAAAAAACATTTACAATTGCAGCTCAAGCTTTCATTTACAGTGCATTCATAAAGCATTCAGACCACCTTCACTTTTTCAATGTTGTGTTTCAGCCTGATACTACAGTTGTTTAAAATTATTTTTTTTAAATTAATTTACACTCAGTACCCCATAATGACAAAGTGAAAAGAGAATTTTAGAAATGTTTACAAATGTATGAAAAAGGAAAAACTGAAATATCACATTGGTGCAAGTATTCAGACCCTTTGCAAAACACTTGAAATTTAGCTCAGGCACCTTCCATTTCTATTGATCGTTGCTGAGATGTTTCTATACCTTGATTGAAGTCCACCTGTGGTAAATTCAATTGATTGGACATGAATTGAAAAGGCACACACCTCTCTATAAAAGGCCTCACAGATGACAAAGTGTACTGTATCAGAGCAAAAGCCATGAGGTCAAAGGAACTGCCTGTTATTGCATGGTACAGCCCTGGGGAAGGCTACAAAATAATTCTACTGAACTGAAGGTTCCCAAGAGCACAGTGGCCTCCATAATTCTCAAATGGATGAAGTTTTACAAAACCAGGACCTAAGTACGAGAGGTGACCAAGAACTCGATGGTCAATCTGAGCTCCAGAGATCCTGTGAGGAGATGGGACAAAGTTCTAGGAGGGATAACCATCACTTCAGCCCTCCACCGATCTAAGCTTTATGGCAGAGTGGCTAGATGAAAAGCCTCTCCTTAGTGCAAAACACATGAAAGCTTGCTTGGAATTTGCAAAAAAAAAAAAAAAAAAAAAGAAGCACCTGAAGGACTCTCCGATTGTGAGGAACAAGATTTTCTTTTCTGATGAAACCAAGATTGAACTGTTTGGTTTCCATTCTAAACGTTGTCTGGAGGAAACCAGGCACTGCTCATCACCTGTTCGATATAATCCCAACAATGAAGCATGGTGGTGGCAGCATCATGCGTTGGGGATGTTTTTCAGCAGCAAGGACTGGGAGATTGGTCAGGGCTGAGGGAAAGCTGAATGGAGCAAATAACAGATATCCTCAATGAAAACCTGTTCCTCAGCACTCAGGACCTCAGACTGGGCCGAAGGTTCACCTTCCAACATGACAATGATCCTAAGCACACAGCCAAGACAAAACAGGAGGAGCTTAGGAACAACTTTGTGCATGTCATAGAGTGGACCCATCCAAAGCCCTGACTTGTAGACGTGAAAATGGCACTCCACCGATGGTCCCCATCCACCCTGAGCCTGAAAGGATTTGCAGGGAATGGCAGAAAATCCCTCAATCCAGGTGTGCAAAGCTTGTTGCGTC